AAAATCTATATGGCACAGCACTTTCGTGCGTGTCAATAGCCACACTAATTTGGGTTACAACCAGAACCATACTAGATGGTAAATTTTTTTTTTTTTTTTTTTTTTTTTTTTTTGGTAATGTTTAATTGTAATTACTACTGTATATGATTTTTTTTTTTTTTGGGTATAATAAAAAGTATATTTATGCATTGATAAGTCTAAAAGCCTACAACCTAGAGACACCTAACTAAAAGAACTTCCGTCAATCTTCTTGTTACTTCTACTGGTCGTTAATCAAAAAGAGTGCCAACCATTACCTGAGTGGTAGAGCTTTGACACCATGACATATGCACAAGAGTTGGCTTTCCAAACAGAAACAATTTTTGACTGCAGTGAATTATAAAATTTTCAATGTGTTAGGTTTCTAATTTCCATTGATTAGAGACATTGCTGCTGTAGTATTCTTTTATTGATTTGGGTCGTGATGTAGATTGTTCTCTGTTTTCTCTAGCCAAGCAAGAGGAAATTCAACAAATATCAACTATACAATAGAGCTAGGCAGCTAGCTATATAGCACTGTTTCTTTCTTTAAATAAGTAAATATAAAGCCTACAGCATGTTTTTTCCTGAAATTTTATTCAGCTTCCGTATGTATTGCAAAGGAAAAATAATGATTATTACTGCTTTTGGCATTGGACTATGGACAATGTCTGCTTTTTATGCTTTTGTGTGGTAATATTTGTCGAGGAGCTTCTCAGAATACTCTCCGAATGTAAGAGATCCAGTTGTGGATATAACCTAAATCAACAGATAACAAAGTTCAGCAAATCATCTTGCAGTCCAACAAGATTGCCTACCATATTTCTCATTTTGCTCAGGAAGAAAGCTCTCTCAATAGAAGATCAAAACTATGAAACTTTATATATCATAAATCTCATCATAAATACAACAGTTTGAGAACAATGTGCAAGATTTTGTGAGTAAACCTCGCCCCAAGTTGAAAGATGATGATTCAGACAAATTTTTTATTTTTTTTATTCAAGACACATTTTCATTTAAATCAGCATAAACGAAACTTGGAGACCTATTTTTAGTCAAGTCACATGCAGCAAATTGATTTCTGTAAATCACCGGTTTAAATCATTTCATCTAATATGACTCCTAGCAACCTGGCCAAAATTTCACTGTGTTACGCTTACAGCTGGCTGAAATTTGATACATAGTTAGAATTTTACATGAAAAGTCAAGAAGCAGTTTCCTTGCAATTAAAACACTAACTTACACCATGGACTATGGGGATCTGAAACGTGTTTCAATGAAATTTCTTCTATTGGTAGTTAACTTCCTGTTAGGATAAGAACAATCACAGCTTCGCTCACAGAGCAAAACTAGCAAATATCCTTGTCACTATTTTCTTAATTCATAGCATAACTTACGCAGGTGACAAGGCACGACACTTTATGATAAAGTTTAGAATGACAATCTTTTGAATTTGCATGTTTCTTTTGTTTCCTTTTTTTTTCTACTCAAATTTATATGATTATCAGCTGGGTGTGGTTATGGTCACACACCATTTTGTTAAGGCCACACAAATGTTGTTTAGTTTGACTAATATTTTATCAATTTGTAGTTTTTTTTCTTAAACAGCTGTTATGATGTCTGAAAATATCAGTTTATAAACTGATTTCAACATGTTAAATGATAAATATCAATTATTTTATCAATTATCAACTATTTTTATCAATCAAATTAAACAGAACCATGAGGCCTTAACATTATGGTGTATGGCCATAACCCCAACGGCCAAATTCCAGACATACCGTGCATTGATGTTCTCAATGCCAGTTATAACGTATCCCTATTAAGGTTTCAAAGACCTTACCTCTTTATGAATAGGAACCTCCTCGGGAAAGTTAAGCCTCTCGTCCCTACAGAAGAATAAACAAATAAACAATAGAAAACAGCACGCACTGAAATCCAACCCAAATTAAGTCATTATGCTTTCTACTCTAACACATATGCTAATGACTCGAACTACAGAGAAGTGAAGGTCAATATAAATGTTTTCTTAAGATTGAAATTTGTCTACGTAGCTCCATCCACAGTCTCACAGTTTTTAAAGAAGGCAAAAGAAATAACATGGTCAATAAATTCCACAACTAAATGCATCATATAAATCTGCAAACTGTTATTAGTAATTTAGTATACATACCAATCAGGTTGCATGAATAATGCAAATGTTGACCGATCAACACCTGAAGTATCCTTTCCTTTTGGTGCCTAACAGAATTATGGAGTACAGTTAGAAATTATTATTTTTGAATATAACAAAGGAACAAGTTTTCTTCATCAGAAAACATAAGGGCTGAGATAATCCAGTAAACTGAACAATTTAGGCTAGAGCGCATTGTCTTGAAGACAGAAGCAATATCTCAGGTTTTATAATTTTAACTAACAAACTGCAAAAGAGACTTGATTCCTCCAATTAATTACCAATTGGAATGTGCCAACCATAATGCAAAATAAGAACAGCTGATTAAAATATGAAAGAATCCCCCAACAGTGTAACAGTATCATCTTCCAATCTAGATATTTCTAATACTACAAGTATATTAGAAATAGCTGAAAGGCCACTAACTAAAATGAGAAGAGTGATTAAATGAGAAATATCTCTATGATGAAACAAGCAAGAGATGGCCATCAGAATCTTCAGTATCCATCCATGATAGAAGTTTTATCACGGCACTTGTTAAAAAAGCAAATGTTCTGAAACAGGATAACAGAAAACAATAACAGCCTTTCAAAAACTGCAATCGAAGCAAAGAGTGATCTTTTCTTGCTGACAGACCTTTCTACCAGAAAGAATAAGGCATTTTAATGATTAAATGGCGCTACAATATCTCATGAGACAGAGATGGAGAAGGGGATACCCGAACACAATGAGGCGTTGCACAGAGGTATCCTTGAGAGAGTATTTCAGTGGTCTCACCTATTTGATATGCTATTTCATCTTCTCCATAGGTAACCTAATACAAAAAAGCAATCTGAGTTAATATATAAATCATGACTATACTTCTAAAACGTGGGAATAATAACAAATCAAGGTTTAAAATTTCAAAAGCTCTTTGTAATTGACATGTAATAGAATTTTCAATTTTTCATCTTATTCCTTTTTTGCCATTTGACAAGGTGAGGGGAGGGTTGGAAGGGGTTCAAGGTGAGCAGAAAATTTCTGCTCTGCTTCAAAAAGAAACCTGATTAACCTCAAATGGTGAGGTAAACTGAGGAACTAAACAATATATATGCAACAAATGGAAATTTCAAATTTTCATATGTTTTCACACTAAATAATGTGTCCTCAATAATGTAAATCTTAGAACAGTACAACTCTTTGGCTTCTGGTATTTTCTAGCTCAAGGTTCCTAAGAATGACCTATTGGAAAGTCTACATTATCAATTCCTGCCACAATGGTAACTTAGAAATATGAATGCACTAAATTTCAAATGTCCTCCATCTAATTCTTTAGAACATTAACTCATGTCTTTAATGCTAATGGAACTGATATTAAAACAATATACAGATAAATACCTTAGATACTGCAACTGAAACACATTCTTTATAGCATATTCTTCTCTATTATTCTTCTCTATTATCCACTATTACTTGAATGAAATCATTATATATATATTAATTATCTTTGATTGCATTTATGAATCAGCAGAATATTTGTGGCCGAGAATGTATACTTTGACAATTTGATCAGTCCGTGTTCTTATATAAAGGCCGGCTGCACTATCGGGGGAAGATATTTCTACACCATCTCTCTTAAACATGGCACATGTCAGACCTACATATTGAATTGAAAAGAAATCAGAAGCAAAATGTAAAATAGACAATTAGAATGTGGAATTTTATAAGAAAATAAATTTCCTAACTGTAGATGGGCTTAGATGCTTAAAAAGGGTCAAAATGATTTTGTGACACTGAGGCAAGGTATGCCAAGATAAAATTGAAGGAAAAAATGCAATACAGTGAAGCAAAGTTGTTATATTTCAAGAAATAGTAAATCACAACATCATCAGAAACTTGACAAGTTTACACAATAAATGAAATGTTAGTTGGATAAAATGTTGCCCATTATTGCAAGTCCAACAGTAGCAACACTACATTCTCTCTAGCTGTTATTTAAAAATAAATAATTAAATAATTTTAAAAAAAAAAAAAACATAAAGATGAATTCTTGAAACCAGCAAAAGATATGATGAATTCCTGAATATCGTGATGAAAAAAGCTAAAAGGAAAAGGGTTGAAGATTTTAAAGAATTTGTTCATAAAATGCTAATAACCAACAAAAGTTATTTATGGACCGCATAAAACTTCATGTGGTGAAAAACTTCATTAAAATTAGTGGTTTAAGTCAGAAGACATTTGACCATATTAACAATGATATATGACAATAAAGGAACTTTTTTCATTATGCGGAAGATGCAAAGTTTTGAAAAAGGTAGTGATTGGGAACAAGAAAGAATCAGTTTTAGGATTATTTAAAAAGTTTATTAATAGTGTTGTTTAAGAGTCATTCTGGGAGTCTTTTATTATTAATGAGTATTTTATTTTTCTTCTTCCAAGTCTAAGTTGAATTAGGAATTTGTGGTTTCAAGTTATTACAATTCCAATTAGAATAGAAATTCTATTTCCTGTTAATTTGGGAATCTTAGGATTATAGATATGCTTGTAACCTCTTTCATTATAAAGTCAAGCAATCAAATATTCAAAATTTTGTGTGAAACCCAAAGAAACCTAAGTGTGATTCCTAGGATTTCCTATCTTTCATGTTTTTGTTTTTTTTTTTTTTTTTCTACCCTAAACAGCCACTTAAACACTATTTCACTGTTCACGCCCTCAATTTACAATAAACCGGCTCTAAATCACCAACTGATGCGGGACAGGTTAGGGGTACGGTGAGCTTGGGGATTTAGAGGCTGTTTACTGTAAATTTAGGGTGTGAACAGTGTGCATGAACAGTGTGCATGAACAGTGAAATGGGGTTTAAGTGGCTGTTTAGGGTAGAAAAGAAGAAAAAAACAAACAAAAAAAAAAGGAAAATCCTAGGAGTCACACCTTGGTTTCTTTAGGCATCACACCTAAAGAGGATGAGAATCCTTAAGCACCACACTTAAAGTTACTTGCATCACACAACCAAAATTGCATCACACAATCTTTAGAGAAAACTCTTGCTGGAAATTTCTGACTATTAGATTGCTTGATTGAATAATAAAAGAAGTTACAAGCATATTTATAATCCTAAGATTCCTAAATTAACAAGAAATAGAATTCTTATTCTAGTTAGAACTATAATAACTCGAAACCATAATTTCCTAATTCAACTAAGACTTGGAAGAAGAAAAAATAAAATAATCATTAACTAACAATAAAAGACTCCAAGAATGACTCTTAACAACACTATTAATAAAATTTTTAAATAATCCTAAAACTGATTCTCTCTTGTTCCCCATCAGGTAGGAAATCCCATAAATTTCAAACTGGCATAGTGCAAATAAAATGTTGATGGGTTTCAGTCATTCCACGATAGTCATCAAATGCTTTCCAATTCTCGTAACTTTTCTCCCTAGACCTCCTTTTTTGATTAACAATATCCTAACGAATAAATAACCCTTAAGTCTAACCTAATCATGCAGTTCCTTTAAAATGCTAAATGAATTTCATTTGAAAATTCATACAAGATGTTCTTTCATCTCTTCATAGTTTTGCTACCATCATTTGACTATTTTTCACTTCAGTCTTTAATTCATGCAAGAGACACCCCTAAGTTCTCACTCAATAGGTCCTTCCAATTTTCCAGGTTTAGAAAACAAACTTTTCACTTCGCAGGTTATTCAATGCCTATATCCACTTAAGGCTCAGTTCAACCCTAGAACACCGAAAGAAAAATTATTCAATAATCATTGTTTAGGATAGTGTCTAAAACAAGCCCATATTCACTTTCAGTAAATTAAATTTTTAGCATTGATTTCATCTTCAAATTACACTTAATGTGAAGTTCAATAATCCGATTTCCTCTTTTGTGAGTATATAGGAACACATGGAAGTTTTTGTACTAGTGTAATATAATAACTCAGTCCATAAACTTGGCAGGGAAATATAGAGGGAAAAGAATTTGGTTTTTGTTTTTAGTAAAAGGGAATTAACTGATACTGTTAAACATGTTTATTCATTAGCTAACCTTTCTTTTCAAATTTTAATAGTTGATACAAGGGATAAGATACGTGGTCCATAAAATGTGCTAGGCAATGCACAGGATCTCAGGTGAGAAAGGATGGTATAATATTAATAAGATCGTTTATTGGCCAAATACAATATTAATAAGATCAAGAGGAAAAACTTATACCTGTCAATGAACCATGGTCTGTATGCCACCCACACCAAGATGACATGGACTCACCATC